TTGCGCATATTAAAAAGCCTAAAAAAACGAAAACCAGTAGATTACAAGATATGATACAGCAAATATTCTCTTTGGTTCGCTCACAATTAATATTTTGAAACGACTATTTTCGTTATTGAATAGTGTTTCATGATGCTATAGGGATTGACGTCGCTTGTTCACTAAGGGTGAAGGATTTTGTTGACATCAAATTATCTAATTACAACATGGGCATCGTGAAGTTACAAATTGTAAATGCCCGATATCCGACCCGCTTTTGATGGAAACGTCGATATGGTGACGGGCGAGTATTATCAATTTGGACCCGAATTACCTTTCTGCACGACATCCCTTCGCGCATATTAAAACGCGAACGTGTGATTTGTGTCCGTCGAGAGAACGGAATTCGTGCTGATTCCGTACCGGCTTTAATGACTTTATCCGATTGAAATCGCACGACGGCATCGCCAATAGCCGGTCCAGATCGTCACAATTTCGAACGGTCATTTATCAACATCAACACAGACTGGGGAATTAACTGAAACGTATTTCTGAGCCACTGAAATTGGAAAATCGATAGACAATGGCGCTGCAGTGTGCAGTTTCATAGGTGTCTCGTTCGTTGTTTCCCAATAACATAAGGAATAAAAGCGGTTCTAACATTTGTATCAAACTAGCTGGAGTAATGAGATCGTTAAAATTTATTGACGTACCATATTATGGATCGCCCCTAGAAATTCACCTATTTTGTAAAATTTGTATAATAAGCAGAATTAAGCGCGGCACTCCTAATTTGTTCTATAGTTTCTAAAGGTGGATTATCAATCAATTTTAAACGTTGCAAGGATATTTACGTGATTCAAACGCGATTGCAACGTTGTATCGCCGCGTCTCCTTTGCATATAATGTTAACGCAGCATGTTGTCGCGTGTGCCAAATATTTAATTTGGACGTTAATTAAGTATGCCATATTAGCCGCTCGTCGATTAACTAAACTTGTTTAAATTTAAATTGCCTCGTGCATACTAAATCCGACTTTAAAGGCAGTTTGTTCTGTTTAACTTCGCGGGTCCCGATTAAAAGTTTACGAACAAAAACTTGTTCGGTGCGGCTGTATTGTGTTCCGCGAATATTGCTTAATAATCTTACGATGGTAATTTTCTCTGTTGAACCGTCGGCGTCGTTGAGAAATTGATTTATATACCGCTTTGGATTTCAGTTGTTGTTTTCGACGTCATCGATAGCCATTTATCGAATGGGCGGATGTCTTTTTTGCATTTTACCCAAATATCCTTTTGTTTGAAAATTTCGATAAATCGCCTGCTTCTTATTTAATTTTCACTTATTGCTTTTTCATATTATTTATTAACAATGCTACGTCAATACCTTTTTTTCTCATCTGGGTTATTAGTTTCCTTTCCTTTCTTCGTTGACTTTTACTTTCCTTTTCTATTTTTATTTATGATTTGATTACATTTTCTCGGCAACAACTTTTTTTCATTCCATCATTATCAAATCGGGAATTTCGTATTAATACTTATTAATAACATTAACGTTAACTGGAACAGGATTTCTATTCCGCTATATTTTATTATGTCACTAGCTTACATTATTTAGCGTTTATTTCTGTCATTTTTGCTTATCACTATAGCTGTAATAGCTCCTTCCCCTCAAGCATTATTCTCAAATTAGGAATTTATTATTAATAGAATACAAATTAATATTAATTAGATAAGAATTTTAAATATTTTTCCACACATTACAAACTTTTTTATTTAACAATATAATCGTTACTAATATAACAATAAACAATCTTTATTATTGATTGATTTTTTTGCAAGGTGGTAACATAACAAAAACTAGAAGTCCCTTTATAAAATAAATCACTCACTTTATGCTGCTAGTGGGGTGGCTTTTGGGGGGTGGTTGGCTTCAACAAATCACACTCACGCTCGTCCACAAAAGCCACACTGAAAGCACGTTAAGTGCGGAAGCAAAATAAAGGATGCTTCCCAAAAAACAAGCAAGCAGATTGGGTGTAGTACCGACAAAATTCGTACCTTGATCACTGCAATATGCTCGCGTAGCGATAAACCTACGGAAGGCGGCTAAAAATACTCCAGATGAAGCGCTTTCGTTGCCATACCGATGAACCGGCAAATGTAGACTTTCTGTGTCTTAGCAACTCACCGGCGAGAGAGGGTGATAGAAATCAGGCAGGCAAAAATCAATACCAACCAGCGTGCACAAAGGGCTTAACTTGCATGACACTCACCGAGGACAATTCCGCCCTAAAGGGGTGCAAAAGCTGACAAAATCCTAAATTGTTGAGTCAAGGGACGTAACAAGGACACTACAGGGGAAAGGAACACTACGGATTAGAAATACTGGCTACTTGGTACAGAATATTTCGTTTGGCATCGCCACTTCGAAACGGTAAGAAAATGCATCCTGTCAAGTACATATTATAGTCCTAAAACTTTTAGGCTAGTTTAATACAGAGGGAGATGTGTTGCGGATGCGCAGCGGGCATTGAACTCAATAACTCACGGGAGTTGCTGACCAATTTACCCAACTAAAATCCACGCAACTGTAGCAAAGATACGAGTTGATCTCGTAGTTCACGAGCTTCTTTCACTGAGTTTGATCTTCCACAAATATCATCAACATAAGTTGGCGTAATACGAATGACCAGATATGAACTACAGCTTAAACCATACCTCACGGTCTTTAGGAGGTAATCTTTCAAGGGCTCATTGTAAGCTAGTCGTAGGGGTGGATTCTTAATCAAACGGGTTTCTAAGACCTGGACCCTCTGGAGGGCTTGGGGGTAAGAATCACCTAAGACAGATCTCCTGACACCCTTTATCTTCAAGAAACATAAATGTCCTGGAAGAAATGGATTCAATCTCCTGAAATCGCTTTAAAGAGTCATCGATAGATGAACTAAAGGTAGTAAAAAAACTAATTGGATTGGAGGGTTCTACAGAATTTATTATTCTTAGGTCAACCCTGGTGTGGAAAGCACAGGGATCTCCATTCTCGCTTAAAACAAGGCAAAAAGATGTCGCGATAAATATATGGGTTCACAAGAGAATGGGTCAGCTAAGGGTAGATTCTGCAGGTACTTCACGTTCCTTTTCTCAATCACCTGGTAAGGTACCTTGTTGCAATTCGACGGAATAATTAAAGCTTCTAGGTTAAGAATCACTTTCGCTAAAGCAGACGTCCCCATTTGGTTAAGGTCTTGGGTTGGGGTTGCACAGGAAGATCTGGGGAGCTTCAATTGCTTGAAAAGAGGATATGGTATGAAACTGGCTTGGCTTGCCGAATCCAAAAGGGCTCGACAAGTGACAGAGAGTTTGCAAGAAGAATCCAAAAACGAAACCAAACAAGTAGCAAAAAGCACAATTTTCTGGGTTGACAAGTTGGTCATCATGGTCACGGGGCTAGTAGTTGCACCTTGCTGGTAGTCGTCAGGAACAACCAAGTTCAACACTTCGTGGTTTTTTTTTTTATTTTGAGGTTCGGCACGTTTGCCCTGCTGCACCTGCACCTTTCGTACAGGTTTAACTAATAAGTCGCGTTCAGCAACAAGTTTAAGCGTTTTGGACATCCTCAGTCGTTTAGTCATTGTAAACATATGCACAGCTCAAACACAGAATGAGTTTGGTCACACAAAATAATAAATTATGTGGTGCGGCTATCCGTCCCCTTTTGGAAAAAGGACACAAAATAAATTTAGAAAAGATGAAGTCTTTTTTAAGGCATTTTTTTACCGGCACGTTTTTGCTTATCCGATCAACCAGGCAACATGTAGAAATTATCTTTGAAATGTTTAATGAAATGACTGTAACGTAATCCACAAGCTAGTTTAAATCCGGCTCGAAGGACCAAGATATTCGGCTTCTGGAGGGTGGCAACACAGCCTTCACTCCAGAATTACAAGAACTAACCAGAACTACAACACCCGGCCAGTGCCGTAAGCGCCTAGCGGGGTGGCTTGGGATCACATACTTAGGGGGGGTGGTTGGCTTCAACCGATCACAGTCACGCTCGTCCCCAAAGGCTACACCGAAAGCACGTCAAGTGCGGAAAGCAAAATAAAGGATGCTTCCCAAAAAACAAGGAAGCAGGTTGGCTGCAGTGGGGATGTTGTAGATATACCGAGTGCGCCAAAATAAATGCATAAATTAATTAAGCAAAAAAATATCGAAAATTGTTATGAAGCCTAAAAAGTTATCGTTTGATTTTTTTATTAATACTCACAATAATTATAATATAACTTTAATTCAATATCATTGCATTGCCTAGCGTATCGTTGTAATTATTATAGTTATCAAGATGAATGCCTTTTTCTCTTAGCATCTTTTTTAAATCCATTGTTGTATATTATGCTTCAAGTCGCCTCGTAAATATTATCGACAACAAAAAACCCAATCGCTATCGCGGAAAGTGACACCGCGGATAGTTAATAGGGCGCACCAAACTTCCCGGCCGACGACAAGTTTAGCTTCTATATCCCAACAAACAGACTCGATAATAATTCGGTATAAAACGTAATAAATTCATCGAGTTTCCGTGTACAAATAGAATCCCGGATTTCTTGCGTAAACAAGAAGAAATTTTCCCGATATACGTCCGTATCCGCCGGCTTACGGTGGCGAAAGCGGCGTTGCCTATTTTACCGAAATTCTCGACCTGACTATTTAAATATTATAGTACGAAAGTATATTTTCGACGTAATTAATAAATAACAACATTGATAGGGACCGGTGCTTATGTGCTATCACGATATAGTTTTGATATGCATAGTTACATCGGTATAGTTTAATGTTATTACATTACAATCAGACCTTACATCGTAAAACAACCAATATAGCTAAGGCTTTGTCAATTCGACAGTTTTCAGTTTGTAAGTAGCAGAAAAGAGTTAAGTGTACGAAGATCGCTATTTACGGTCCCTATATTAACTAACAACTATACGGTGACTACTAATTCATAAATAAAGCTGACCTGTCTGTGAATTTTAGATACTTATTGAGGTTATGGTCGAGAGCTTTTTTGCTCCCTTCTAGTATGGGGTATGAGGACCTTTTTTTGTTCTTGAGTAGTTATTTTCCTCTCTTTAGGTTACGTTGCTCTGATAAGATTTGCTTTCATTCGTAAATTTTAAGTTAGTCAATCTTCAGGGCAGAGAATTCATATTAAAGAATTACATAGTGAATTGTATAAGCGTAGTGGAAGGCATAAAAATCTTTATTATCAAGAAATCTCCGGTTTCCGTTATACGCTGTTTCGTTAAATTACACCCACCTCCGCCCTCCCCCTCCCTACAAAGCCGCGTAAAAAAGCGGACAAACACGCCCGCACGCTATTTCGTTTTAAATGAAATTTTTTGACGTCGTTTTTTTATATCCCACTCCGTCGTCCTTTGTTCCATATTAAATTCTCCCCGTCAGGCTGCAGTAAGGACAGGTGACACAGTTGGCGATGTTGTGATGTTCCGTTCAAATTACCCCTTCAAGGTTGGCGAAGTAACTAAAAAAATACCACTTTTTATCTTGAAACAATGTCAATCAGAACTGACGTTGAGTCGACATGTCACGCCATTACACAGCGCACCAATTCGACAGGCCGTTTCGGCCGACTTACCTACGCAATTGGGAAGTACCAAGATTTCACTGCGCGAGACCGACAAGGAGAAGGGGTACCACGGTGGTCGTGGGTAATTCCCGCGGACACCTGTTGCCCGGAGTGCCGAGATCGAAGCGCGACCCTTGGGGGGAGTTTCTGGGTAAGTGAGGGAACCAGGCATTCAAACTTCCGCTACTGAAACTACTGAAACTACTGAAAACTTGCAAAGGGCACCAATTTGGTGTGACATATTCCAGCCCATTTCACAGCATATTTAATTTGATTTCAGGTACATGGAATTTACCGAAAACAATTGATAGAGACGGGGCAAGAAAATTAAACGGACTTGCCGATCGCGATTCGTTTTTCCACAGGTGTAACCAGGCGATGTTTCCTCCACAAAAATTGCCGCAAAAAATACAGGCAGTCGGAGACGGAGACGGAGAACGAGCAGATTTGGAATCGGCGACTAGCGAGTCGCGGATGCGGAAAGCAGAACAGGCCTGTCCGATACACGACTGACAATAGCGCCAGTAGTCGAAAAATAAACAAAAAAAAAACTATCCGAGGTTGTAATTTCGTATATTAAAAACTCCAAAATGCGCAGAAACGCGAGATAGTAAAAGCCGACCTTTGTGAAAACTAAAATAGCTAGTTTCCGATCGGGTCAGCTAAACTGAGATTATAAAAAATATTTAAATTAAAAACATCGATGCACGCGAAAAAATGCAGTGAGGGGGACGACTAAAATTAATAAAAACGGTAGCGTTAAAAATAAATACCAGCGTGCTTCGGCTAATTTCTAGAGTAAATGAAATATTAAAAAAAAATAATATTTCTGTAGCGGTTTAGAAATTTAGACTACGACTGGGTGAAGTTACTGCAGATAAAATTATAATTTCTTTTTTACAGACGCCCAAACAGTTTTGGTGAGGATATTTTTACACTGTCGGTCAAAAATTGAATTTTTAAATCATTTATAAAGAAGGTACGGTTTGAGAAATAACCAAACGAATTCAAATTATTTTTTGATTTTCTCTGTGCGGTTTATTTTGCGGCTCTGTCGCAAAAAAAAAACACGTTTTTCGACTTCGACGCATGTCTGCCCCGCACAGCTGATCTCAATCATCAGCGCTTGGTGGAACACAGAAATCATGTGGAACGGGCGGCCTAACCACTTGACATTAAATCTTAATAACTCAAAAAAATAAATGCCCAACAAGACTAAAATATCTTAAACGTCTGTGAGAGCGGGAATAGGATGTGTGGCGGAGGGTTAGCCAAACTTGAGCATATAGATAGGCCCATAAACGTTCCGGATTTTTTTTATATTATTCGTCTTGTAATATTGCTAACTCCATACAGTTATATAGTTAACATAATGACGCTAAAATATTTTCCAGGAAAGCAATGGTGAAATCGTGAAAATTAATGTCCTACGTGACTAAAACACCGTATGCCACAGTACGTGACATAGTTGTGAATGGTGTTCAAGAAAGAAAAAGGGGTCTGAAAAAATCTACTTGACATGGACCATACCGGAATAGTGAGGCGGTCGATATATGATGCGTATTAAAAGAATATTGCTTTAACAATTGAAACTTTACATGAAGAGTTGCGTAGTGTTTTGACTGTTGCCAAGAGGCTTTGCGTCCGTTCGTACGAAGAATTGGTTTTTATTACATAACCACCAATAAGAGACAAGTTTTGATGGAATCAAGAAGAATTTTGGAGTGGAAGAAAAGATATTAGAGAGAAATACAAGAAATTCGTGCTAAAAACGTCCTCATCATATATTTGGATGAGACCTTTTTTGATAGCCCTGATACCATTAAGAAAGGAAGTTCTTATGACGGGAACGTTTGATAAGAAGTATAATGTGGACATATTGGCCATGTAGCGGATATTCAAAGTTGTCCGTCTCCCACAATATCATTGCAATATCAATCCGATAGAAGTGATTTGGAGACAGCTGAAACCCAGTTTAAGAAGAAACCACACCTCCACCACCACACTACCACCTACCACACCACAGTAGAAAAATTTATGAAAATTTGCCAAAATTAAATAAATACCTGATTATGTAGTAAAAAGGGTATATCGTTCGGAGAACTCTATTAATCAAACGTCCCGTATGTTATCAGGACGAATTTCGACAATTTTCAAAGATCACCCCATCCAACTAAATCGTTTGACGTTTATTTAGTGTTTCATGACGTCCGCGGAATCGTAAATTCATTTGCTGTGGCGAATTAGATTTTATCGAAAGCTCTGTGTTATTTACCGTTCGTTTTAGCTGATTATTTTAAAGATCATCGCCATGTTTATATAAAGCAAGTCGACCCCTTGACGGATGCACGGGGAGGACGCTTTTAATTTTCGACGTTGCACGTTCAAAGTTCGTCGAGATCCCGGGCAAAAGATTAATTAGAGGGTAGTTTGAAGTAGCAACTCTCTAGACAACTCCTCAAAATAACTGATTTAATTAGAAGTTCTGGATTCGGGATAAGGAGCACTTTGTATCTTAGCGTATTAACTGACTGTAAGTGAATTTACGTCGTTATGTGTAATTTTTAGCGTCTGGCGTCGTGGATAACAAAATGGTGACGCGAAGTAAATTAAAATTTCAGAAAGTCCTTGCCCTAAAGTGCGCAAAGTATTTTTCTTGAAAAACTTGAAAAACCGAGTTAGTAAAAAGTAAGCGAACTAACCAAAACTGCAAAAGATGGAAAAAAAATCAAAAAAAATATTGAATTTTATCATTCGAGTTTTGGCAGTTTTGGAGTTACTTAAGCGTTTCGGTACTTATTGCCGAAAAAGCGGTGTTGCCGTAGCTCAGTTATTAATTGAAACAAAATTTTAAAATTAGAAAAAATTCGACATGCGCAATCCATATCAATAAAAATAAATAAACCATTGCATTAAAAATAACAAAATGATGACGTGTGGCTTTAAATATGGTAGATCTGACAACATTACCGTTAGTATTTTTGAATTCTGCATGTTCAAAAAACGCCCAGGCATTGAATTTGGATATATTTAGAGGGGTCGAACTAATAGGTGTTTTTTTTTTTCGATGTATAGAACTTTAAGTTGGCATTACTGTTCAAGATGGCGACCGATTTAACAGCTGTCAAGTGATTTATTCTCAGTTTGGTTTGGCAATTCATCATGAATAGACTCACGCCTGAACAACGCTTGTAAATAGTGCAATTTTATTTCGAAAATAATGTGGAATACGTAACGCGCACTACGTCCATTGTATCGTCGACAAAATGGTCCATCAGAGCAGTTAATTCGATTAACCATGGAACGTTTTCGCACCACGTTTACTCTTATTGATAACTCGCATCCCCAGAGACGCCGTACGGTGCATACAGAAGACGCTATTGCTGCTGTAGAGCGTAGCATTGAGGAAGACCCGAATAAGTCCATCCGCCATCGAGCACAGGAATTGGATCTGTGTCCATCCACTTTATGGAAGATTTTGCGGAAGGATCTTGGTTTATGTGCTAACAAAATCCAACTCGTGCAAGAATTGAAGCCAAACGATCATCAAGTAAGGCGTAGATTCGTCGAATGGGCTCAAAACGAGATTGCCGTTGGTCCCGATTTTCATAAGCGAATTTTGTTTAGCGATGAAGCGTACTTCTGGTTGAATGGCTACGTCAACAAACAAAACTGCCGCATTTGGGGTGAAGCTAATCCTCAAATGTATGTCGAAACACCGTTACATCCAGAAAAACTTACTGTTTGGTGCGCTTTATGGGCTGGTGGAATCATTGGTCCGTACTTCTTCAAAAACGATGATGGCCAGAACGTTACAGTCAATGGTGATCGGTATAGAGCTATGATTACTAACTCTTTAATTCCTGAATTGAATAACCAGATGTGGTTTCAACAAGGCGGCGCAACATGTCACACAGCTCGTGCCACAATTGATTTATTGAAAGACACGTTTGGTGACCGCCTAATTCACGTTTTGGACCTGTGAATTGGCCTCCAAGATCTTGTGATTTAACACTGCTGGACTACTTTCTGTGGGGTTATGTAAAGTCATTGGTCTATACGGTTAAGCCATAAACGCTTGACCACTTGGAAGACAACATTCACCGTGTTATTGCCGATATAGGGCCAGAAATGTTGGAGAAAGTTATCGAAAATTGGACGTCCAGATTAGACTACATCCGCGCCAGCCGTGGCGGTCATATTCCAAAAATCATATTTAAAATGTAATGCCACAAGATTATCTTTCGGATAAATAAAATTCCTGTCAATCGAATAATCCATCGTTGCAACTTAAAGTTCTAGACATCGAAAAAAAACACCCCTTAGAGCGAATCGGTATCATAACATGTTTAGGTGAAACGACCATTATTTATTTATATATTTATGTATTTATACAAATAAGGCTACTCAACACACTGCTTGGAGTAGCGGGAATTAGGAACAATAAAAATAATTACAAAATTCAGTAGAAGTGAGAAAAAAATAACGCCAACAGCAAATCTCAGTAAAATTGTCTGCACAATATCCACAAACCCCGATGGCACTTGATACATCCGCACCCCACTTTTTCATGATTTTCTTGACATCAAAATAAGTGATGTTAAAATATTTGAACTGAAAAATATCTACCCGTGTTTCCACGTTATGATATCGGTTTAATGATAATAGTGTTAAAACCTTAAAGCCTTAAACGATAGCACTTAGGCTACAGCAAATTGTATTCCGATTGCCTCATATTATTAATAATGGTTATTAATTAAGGCGTAACCAATTGCTAGTTACTTATTGAGAGAACGGTTTCGATTATAACATATTTTAACTGAAACCGAGAGTGGAACAATAGAAACAATTGTTCGTCTGTGTTTCCTGACCTTAGTCTTCAGATTGCTCCAATTTCGCTTCAATATTGAAATGGCTGAACAAAAGAACTTACAATCACAGAACAAACAACTGCTTCTAAAACAAGTGTACGTTGGGCAAGGGTGTCTGACTGGGATATTTAAATGTTCACCTACTATGATCTCGTACCCACCATAGGTTTAGAAGGTAATATAGTGTCCAAAATACGTGAATTTTCTTGGATAACCTGTAAATGAAAATAATTTTGTGTTTTCGCTGTGGAACCTGCATAAATGGCTCCATTTAAGCAATCAATTTTCTGCTGGCCTCGTTGTTAAGTCGGACTTTTTCAATCTCTTTTCTCTAAATATTGCTTATGTGATATGATTTTTTTAAAAAGAATGAATCATATATAAAACAAGAAATGAAATAGATTCGACTCCTATTTAAGAAAATTTCATATTTAGAGAGTAACATTAACAACAGAGAGAAGTGTTCCACTCTCACCACTCCACACAGGTTTCCCTCACGCCGGGAAAAGGACGTTCCCGGGAAAGAGTCGATAATATACGGCTCGTTCACCAAACGCGGCAAAGGCTTAATTAACGACTGGCAAAATTGGTTTCGTTAACTCGCCGCGTCTGCCGAAATAATTAAATAGAACAATCGACTCTAGCGGGTGCCGCCGCCCTGCGGGTCTGGTCTGGAGAGAGACGCAGCCTCCGCACTCCTCTTCCACCATACT